TTCGCATCCCTGTCCTTTTACTGGGAACTCATGCCAAAACAAATAATATCTAATGTTTTATTTACAGCCAATTATTACTCCAGATTCTGTTAGCTTTGTAAAGACAATCATAATATTTCTCCTCTAGTAAAAACACTGCATCAGTGCATTTCAAATTATTTTCCAAGCCTACCTTAGGCTCTCAAACACTTAATAGGTGATTTTCAAAATGTCAAAAATGTAAAGTAGTGATATGCTAATGGAATACAAACATGCATTAAGTGAGCATAGATAGATGCAAATGTATTGTATGCATTCACAGTCTTTACCTGTCTGTCTATCTGTCTCTCTAACTATGTCTCTCAGTCTTACAATGTCTGTCAGTCTGTCTCTTTCTCTATCTCACTCTCCATGACACCTTCTTATGTCCTTATCTTCACCACTACATGTCTTTATTTTTTAAGCAAAATAATGAAGTGAGTAATATGGAAGCATAATAGATATGATAATTTGTCTTTCTTCAATTCATTATTCATACTCATCAAAAATAGCCGCATAATCTGTCTGCTTTTATAAAAGTGCTGTTTAAGTAACAGTATACGGGCTTGTTACATATTTTTCCCATTTATTTATCTTACGCAGTTCTTCTAGACATTAGGGACTAAATTCAGAATTTAATAATATATTCCATGGAGTGTAATGAAGTATCTTTAAAGGAATTAAACAGTTAAAGTTAATATCTTAAACGCATTCAGGTTAGAGGACTTATATTCCCTTTCCCATCAAATGTACTTAATAACAACATAAGCTAAAAATATAATGCTGTTGCAATCACTATATCTTAGCTGTTTTTCTATATCAATATCCAAAATCACTATAAGGTACTGATTATTCCCTTAGTTGTAATTCCTATACTCAAAATATAAAGATTGATCACCAAGTTTTATTCAAGTTGTCTACAGGAGTAATCCCTTAATTTAGTGAACCTTCTCAAACAGCAGACTGTGAGCAGTGTTGTTAACAAACTAAGACAGGTTTCCTCTGTCACCTTTATTGTGCTACATAATATAATCAAAACTGCATGCACAGACTTTGTAAATACGCACCCACTCACATACATTCATTCAGGCTCATTTCACTGTGAACTCGCACAATATTTCTGCCTTGTTTAGGGTTTTTTATGTTGCAAATACTGTGCTGATTATGCAGTATATAGTTATGTATAGTGATGAGTGTTGTTATCTAGCAACACACTGATTGCTTGGAAACTTCCAATTCTATATACTATCTAGGACCATAAACATACCAATAATATTCATTCTTATGGGGTATTTTATTCAGTGTTTGTATTTCAAATGGGAATGCATCTGATATGAAAAGCAGGATACAGCTATATCTCCTTCTCTGTTACTGTCTTTTTAACATTGAATAATCATTGCAAAGTACTCTTTGTTAATTTGGGGATTCACTAAAAGGAAAAAAAGTTGAATCTTTTTGGGACACCTTCCTCACCAAAGTCCACTAAATTGTGGGATTACTTTCATAAGATATATTTATAAATCTATATCTATTTATGTAGTTGTTCGCTCTACCTTTAACCTTTGTTCTACACCAAAAATCTATCCCTGCTCCACTTTTGAGAAATGTGGGGGAACCTAATACATACTGAACACTTGAGTTGCAGACCAATGTCGCTCGGACAGACCTTGAATAGCATGACCAAATTGTCAGTCATGCTCAAGAGAGATTTGGAAGGCTATTTCTCCTCTATAGTGATGCATTATCCAACATGAGTCCTTAAGTGTGGGTTTTGCATCCATTATTATTATAAGATTTGAGAATAAGACTGTTAGAAGGGAATTATGCAGGGGGGGAATATAATAAAGACTGTTGGTCTAGTCTAGGCGGATCCTGCTGTTAAGATA